CTCCAAGTTATTGAACTCACAACTCTTTGTGTCAATTCACTTTTGGGTTACTTCAACCAACACCTTTATCCACTGGGCCATGTGCCCTTGGGGACAGCAGTGAATGAATTTTGGAAACTTATAAACCTTAATGTTTCAATTCTCATTTTTTACCAGATTGTAATTTTTTTTATTGTTGGTTTTCTTTAGCTCTCTGTATTACTGGTTCCCATATTGTATTCATTTCTATGCTTAGCCAGCTTGAGAGATTTTTGTAGCCTAGCATATGTGCAGATTCCTTAAGTTTTCATATTTTCCAGTGATCTCTATTATTTCAACCTCATCCCATAGAGGGTGGTGATCTCTCTTTTTGCACAATAAATAGTCAGCTATACCTGAAATTCCAATGTATATCACCTGAAGAAGGCCAGAGAAACAACAGCTGAAACAAATATGAGGACAACAGTCCAAAAAATGTAAATAGTGTAAATAGTTACAATACCTTATCTCAGAAATATAGACAGAAGATAATCTTGTTTTGGAATTCTGGAATTAGGGTCGGCTAAGGATTCTCTGGTCTTTACTTTTTATTTTATTTTTTTTGCGTGATGAGGAAACAGATTGTTCTTTTAAACAACCATTCAATGAATTTATCTGCTTTTTTTTTAAGGGTCTGTTTAAATAAAGGAAAAGAAAAAGTTTCGACTTAAATCCAGGCTGTAAATGGGTTTTTATTATGTCAATGCCACTTTTCAGCTACCAAGATTAATCATTTTTCTCTCATCTTTTAAATTCTGATGCCCTACAGCTCATAATACCACAAAAGAAACATGTAGCAGAAACGAAATGCAGATGAAGCAGCCAATCACTACTGATAACAGTATTCACCCCACCGAAGAGAAAACACTTAGTGCTGTCTCTGGAAATAAGACAGCACATGGTTGCCTGCCTGAACAGAGCTGGTGCAAATCTCGAAATGCCTGGTTAAGAAGAAAGAAAGTGTCTACCAGTTTCCCCATGAGATAGTTGGGATGGTGAGTTGAGTGGTGTTAGCTATGCAAATGACAAATGATTCCTTTGCTAGCCAACTGCTAAAATTCTAGTCTCCATTAAAAAAAAAAAAGGACATTTTCTGGGAAGGAGTAGAGCCTGGCAGTGTGCTGTGTTGACTGCACAGCAGGATTGCCATACATTACCAAGAATTTCTGTTTGCGTTACCCAGCATCATTTAAAATTCATTTGTCCTCGTTTGTGTCTCTGGTGTCTTGGCTGTGTTTGCCCTGTACGTGTGGTGCTCTCTATGGAAGTCTTGTCCGTGCCCTGTTCATTGTGATCCCGTGTCTGATTCCGGTACTGGTAAGTCTTCTGTTCCTCTTTATTGGCAGATACCCGACCATTAACAAGAAAATCCCTTCAAAACAGTAAATTATATATTATTTTCTCAAAAAAATAAAAATAAAGGTAGACTTTCATAGATTTTATTTTAGCTAAAATCAGTCTGCACCTATTGTGGCATCTTGAATAATCTTTTCACAATTTTTTTCTTTTGACTGCTGCTAAAATGCAATATGATTATTTTAATGCAACAACTAAGAGAAATACTGCCATTGATAGGACAAGTGGGTGATTGATCCATTCAACTTTTATTGCAATATTGAATTTTTTTTAAAATACTAATTCTCAAGGTTCGAGGGACACTCAAGGTAGAGGGTTACTGCTAAAAAGGTTATGATGAATAAAGTGTGCAGTATGAACAAAAGATGGGATGATAGAAAGTGAGGATTATGAGGATAAAGAACATAAATTCAAGGGTTATTCATAATCTAAGAGGTTAAGATTCTAGTGTTTGAGAATAAGGGTGACTTGACTCCATGCAAGTAACATAACGTTTCCTCATTGTAAAGGTCTAAACTAGTAAAACTAAAGAATGAACCTCATTCATTGACTATGGTGGTAACAGAATGCTGCTATTGCCTGAGCAGGTCAGATAATTTTTTTTTCTACCTAATGTTCATTCAATGCAAAGCCAAAGAGTCACTCAAGGTAGAGATTTACTGAATGGTATTGTTCTGAGGGCATAAAGGGAGGCAGTAAGAAATGTGGTTTATGAGGATGTATGTAAGTTTGGTCTGGTTGATTTTGTTTAGTGGTATATCAACACCCCTATGGGTTATTTAATGCTGAAACCACATTTCTTACTTTTTGAATACAATTGTATGCCTTCAACTATGGTTAAAGTGTATCATTAGTCATTTTACTGCAAATAGGTATCGTTGGTCATTTTACTATAGACATATATTGTTGGTAATTTTTTTATATAAAAATGTATTGCTCCTATTTTTACTATAAAAATGTACTTTTATACTTTCATAGTGATTGTTTTTGTTTGGGGGTTCACTATTTGCCCATAGGTAGGATCCTGACAAGTGTTACTACCCCAGGTCAGGGTGGATCTGGGAACAACAACAAATATGAGGTGGTTCCTCAAAACCTCCAATAAACCTATCAGAGGCCCTGTTGCCAGATATAGTTCATTGTCATACTCAGGAGTGTATAGGAAAGAGAACAATTAACCCTTGACTTGAAGAGGTTAAGATTGTAGTGATCGGGAAAGCATCCCCTCCGGAGTCTGTTCCACAATGTTGCAATTCTTGGGAAGAAGCTGTCCAAATTGAACTTCCTACTTATGAACAGAAAAAGAAAGGAATGGGGATGATTTGACTGTCGATGTAACATGGCAGTTCTTAGCTGTGAAGGTCTGAACTGATGGAACTAAAAAATGTAGCTCATCTGAAAATTTGCCATTGAAATAGTGTTAGAATAGAGAGAGGCTTGCGACATTTCCTCTGCGGGAAAAGAGTTGCAAGGTGGAAAAGAATCTATCACCCACAAGGCCATGGAGATGGTTTAAAATTTAAGATTGAAAAGTGAAGACTGAGTAGCTCCAGCCCAGATATGACAACAATACTCCATTTTTGGTTCAATCTGGATCTTATAAAGACTAAGTACAGCAGAGTGAGTCAGGTACTTACTGGAGACGTAGATGGAACTGACCATTTTTCCAGCATCTTAAATGATGGATCATATACGAGTTCCACATGAGGTCTAAGGCAAGCTTGTATCCCTATAGGCATTCAAAAGGAGGAGCCTCCTTGAGAGAACACTCATTCATCATGATAGGTGAAAATTCAAAGTTGAACATAATCGAACATTACTGGTTTGGTTTTGGCGGTATTAAATGTTACAAGCCAACTGAGGTAGGCCAGAAAAGAAATCAGCTGACTGCCTCTGGTTATCTAGCATTTTGAGAATGCACCGTTATACTGTGGTATAGGCTGCACAATTATTCACTACTAGCAGTAGAGCCCGGCGTTGCCCGGGGATGTAACAGTAAGAGATAGATCAAGTATCAACCATCATAAAGACTGAAAAATAAAATTGACAAAGATTATTGTTTAAGGCTGATGGATACGCATGTCTTAATTAGTTTTTTTTTTTGATTTTTTTATGAATTGGTCAAACCCAAACTCAAACAAAAACATTGTTTTAAATTGTTATGAGTCTCTACCAATTGAATAGAATTTCATTATAAACAATTGTCTTGTAAATGAAATTTTTAAAGCATTCTGAATGTAAAAATAACGAAAAAAGTGTGCAAGACAATAAGAAACACTACCTGTGAAGTTTTGTTGAAATCGGTTGAAAAATGTAGGAAGTCTGATCCCATATATAAACAAACACACACAAACAACCTGGGTTTTATAATAAGTATAACTCGATATGAGTTGTCCCCCTTTCATTATGGTGACAGAATAGTGTTTTCAAATTGATTTCATGCAAAAACAATTGTGTTTTTCCAATTTTTGGCGCTGTCAGAACCACCGCAAGATAATTTTACGCAGTCCTGTGAAGTTTTGTTGAAATCGATTGAAAAATGTAGGAAATCCGATCCAATATATAAATGTACAGACACACACACACACACACAATCTGTGTTTTATAATAAGATGGGAGAGTAATCTGTCAAAGTGATCATTCACCTACTTTCTTGTTGGAAAATCATCGTTGTGTTAATACTGTGTTAAGATATCTAGCACTTGAGTGGAGTGCAGGGATAAGTAGATTTATATTTTTCTCAAGGTCATTAGTACAAAATAAATAGAAAACTTCAGCTGGAATTTGTACTTAACTTACCAATTGTGTTCGTCCTGTCAACAATTTACACCACTCCTCATCAACTTGAATGAGCTTTTGGTACTTTAACTTATCAATTCTCTGTTGTTGGTGTGAATTTTACAAGTGATTAAATCTATATATGGTACCAGTTGAGAAGTTAACTTGAAAAGCCAAGGTAGCTAAGCTAGGTAATTTGAATTTTACTAGCATACAAGAAATACCCTAGCATCTGTTTGTTTTCTAGTGGGCTGTTGGAGTGTGGGTTATCCCACTTGACTTCACTAAAACTCCCACTAGGAGGCATTCTTTAGGTCTATAAATAGGCAAGTATATTCTCTCTCTTTCTCTTTTTAGCTATGCCTTTCAGATGCAGTCATACATACATACATACATAGGAATGCTACTGTTGAGGTGTGTTTGTTTCCTTGGTCCTCTGTTGACTTTTGAACTCTCTCACACACATCTATCACACACACCCACACAAACAAGCATACTCTTATAACTAATTTTAATGGGTTTTTTTTTCCTTTCATTGAAATTGTGTACACATGTAATTCCTTTTGTTAATAACATGCATTGTTAGTTGCTTTATAATCATTGTTTTGTGTTTCTTATTTTTACCTTGACTCATATCAAGTCTGCAAATATTGTTTGCAGGATAAATGTTCCAGGTGTCCATAAATATTTAATATCCAAAATGTTGATTTCCACAACATAATGGTGACTAATATTTCTACCCAATCCTACAAGAACACCTGGAATTGTCTGGGTTTGAACTCTTGTAGAAAGAAACAAGTACTCACCCAGGCTCATTAGAAAAATAACTGAAATAAATGACATCATATTGAAAAACCAGTTCCTGTATGATCATCGAAGTTAAGCAACACCGAGCCCGGTCAGTACCTAGATAGGTGACCACTTAGGAATACCAGATGCTGTAAACTTGGATTTGCAGTTGGTGTAATAATGGCTTGGAATTGTTAATCAGAGCTGAGTTTCAATTCCCGTCAGGTTCTTTATATTCACTTATGTACAAATATCCTTAGGAAAGTTATGAATCCACCTCTTCTCCCTCCAGCTATGGATTAACTGTAAGACTTATATTACTAAAGCATGGTTATCTCAAAAAAAAAAAAAAAAAAAAAAAAAATTATTGCAATGTAAAAATATTTTCTGGCTTTAAATAACCTGCAAAAGGTTGATAAGCCATAAAAAAATGAATGAATCAATCAAATAAACTAGTTGATCCATGCTTGTCAAATCTTGGCCAAAATTCAGTTATAGAATTTTGTTATTTCTTAATACCATCCACCATTCTGTTTTAAAATTCTTTTGAGAACATGATGTCAGCTAATCTTAGTAATGATATCAAAAAACCACTTCCCCACTGCCACCTACTCCTCCATCCCTTGCAAAAGAATAATTTTGTCAACTGAAGAAATTTTCCCTAACTCAAGAAGTTTTCATTTGCTAAGTGACAATCAAGAGAAAGAATTTGAAAACAGGTCTTGGATACTAACTTTATTTGCAGATCCCAAACCAAAGTTCCCCGTTTGAATTGTTGAACCGATTAACAGTCAACAGTACAGAGCATTGCTTTTACTGTTATGATATGTTTTGAATAAGACTGACTGACACCTAATTCAAAAACCAGTCATAATTAGGTAAAATTGCTTCCTTTATTTTTCTTGTCACAGTGATGGTGTTTCAACCAGTTTTGACCAAGTCTTCCTCAGATAAAATACTTAAAGACAACATAGGTGAAGAAGACGAACTGGCAGTGTGAGATGCCCAGGGTAGTGACCCTAAGTCATAAAGAAAATTAGAGAAGGGATTCAGTCTTATGTGACTGTTTCTATAAGAATCACTTGTCTCTTCTGACAGTTGCTGCCTTTAATTTTTTTTTTTTTACTTTTCTTGTAACACTCTTCACTCCTGAGGATGTTTCGACAAGCTTCAGCTAAGACTTCCTCAAATCAAAAACTTAAATAATGTGGATTGAGAAGATCAACTGGCAGAGTGAGATACCCAGGCAGTGAATACATGATGGGAAGTTGAAAAAGGAGAGGTATTATAATATATCTTATTATATGTTATTTATATATACACACAAATATTTAAGTCAATGCTTTGTTTATAATAAACAGTATTAACAGCTTTCACCGGCCTGAATGTCAGAGAAATTTCATAAAAAAAATGTCCTTTGACAGGAATTGAACCTGTATCCTACATGGAACCATCATATAGCCTGACAAATTTCATTTGTTTATGTTAAGATATGCTTCAAGCAGATATGGACATTTGAGGGAAATCATGGGAAGTTTGTAGTTTAAAAGCAGTAAAATCAACCTTGCTAACCAGATGCTCCTTTGTAGCTAAACTGGTATAGCACATCAGACTATATGATGGTTCTGTGTAGGATACAGGTTCGATTTCTATTGGAGGATGCATATTTTCTATGAAAGTTCTTGGACTTTTAGGCCGGTAAATGTTGTTAATACTGTTTATTATAAACAGAGCATTTACTTAAATATATGGGTATATATAAATAATGTATAGCAATAAAATATATTAAAATAATTGTTGGGCTTACTCCATTTCATAGTGTGAGATGTTTTATACATACCATAATACAGTTAAGCAAAAACATGGTAAAAATTTTAACTAGAACTTAAAATAAAACCATTTAAACAATTTCTTCATGGGACAAAATTTACGTACTGCATGAAGAAGCAGCATTATGTTGAAAATTATTATCGTAAAAAAATATAAAAAGGTGGCATAAAGTCTCTCGAGCGGCCACCTTTTTGATCAGCCTTTATCAAAATGGATCATTGATAAAATTTGAACAATCAACAATAAAAACAAAATTACCAATGAAACAAGGTAAGACATTTTAAAAGTAATCCAAATCTGTTATCTCATAAAATGAATTTAAAAAAATAGACAGTAGGTGAACTTAAATAAAACCAGGCAGTTTAAGTAAACAGAAAAAGTCTTTTGATTATGAAAAGAACAGTTGATGTTAGAAATTAAAAGAGATGTAAGGATCTTGAAACAAACACGCAAACCATCTATTGCATAAGATATCCATCTGTATGTGTGTCTGGCTGAAATTCCAAAATTAAAATATTTATGCCCTTAAATCAAATATGTTCTTAGTCAGCAGGTTCCAACAAAGGTTTCTGATGAATGATTTATTTCTGTACTTTTATATATTCAAAGATATTTATAAATTAAAACATATGCATTACAAAACAAAAAAAAATATACTGCTATTTAGCAACACCAGTTTAAACCTGATGATATTCAATTATTTTTTTAAAATAAACATTGGGAAAGTTAATGAATGAATAAAGAATAAATGAATAAAGAATATGTCATATTTTTGTTCAATAATGCACAATTTTTTTCAGTTATTAAGAAATTATTTATTTTAGATGAGAAATAAAAAACCTAAACAAAAAGATGGTGAAACAAGCTGGATTGTGAAGTTTAAATGTTTTTACACTGTAATTAAAAATGTTGATATATATATATATATATATATATATATATATATATATATATATATATATATATATATACTTTTCTCATACAGTCTCAGTTACAGTGGACTGGTCATGTCTTGAGAATGTCTGATGACAGGATACCCAAGATCCTAATGTACAGCCAGTTAGATCAGGGCTACAGGAATTTAGGATGCCCATGGTTAAGATACAAAGACAAGCTGAAAAGCAACTTGTCAGCTGTCAATATACCCCAAAACACCCTTGAGCACAGCCTTGGAGCGGGTAGAATGGAGATCAATGTGTTTTAGTGGACTCAGCAGTTTTCAATCTGCTTGTCTGAATCATCTTCAAGAAGTGAGAGCAAGATCTAAAAAATCAGCCAATCTAACAGTCTCATCTCACAATCCTCCCTCTTGCTCCATATGGGGCCTCCTTTGTAAATCACTAGCAGGTCTTAAGTGCCACTTAAGATTATCGCATAAAATTTCATAACTGAATCGATTAAGCTGTCAGATCCTCATACATCAAAACCGACGGGAGAGTCCATATATATATATATATATATATATATATATATATATATATATATATATATAGTGGACTCTCCTATCGTTAATGATAAATGAGGGTCAACAGTGGTTGATTGTGCCTTTACACTTATGCATGCTAGCAGGGGTTACTGTGGAGAAAATCAGGTAAGAGAAAGACATATTTGATTTGCGCTTTCTTAAGTGTGATACTAGCCCAGGTAACCTTAGATAAATGAAAAGGAGCATTGTTGTGCATAAATACACCTTTCACTTTTGTTATAAACTGTACCTATGAACACTAATGAGTATGTCTCAATCCTCATAAATATGTTGGACACTATTTTAAGTGGGGGTATTATGCTATCTAAGTAGTCCACTACTAGCAGTGGTTTACCTATTTCATGCTTCTGGTGAGTATTGTATTTTGTTGATGTTATAAAGATTACCATTTCATTTCCAACCTCTGTTTTGGATATTCCTCATTCAGTAACCCTTTCTAGGTTTACAGCATTTTGGCAACAAGGATTTGGCTAAACTCAAGTAATGTTCACACAGTACAATGCTTGGCAAACTCACGTAAATGTTCATGAATACAATATTAACCAAGTTCACAATTACGATTTTAACCAAGTTGTTTGAAATACAACATTCAGGGAAATACAGGATACTATTCCAAATACAAAGAACTGGAAATGTAACGAAAGGTACATGAAATTGAAAAATTGTAGCCAAAAAGAATTATTCCATGATAGAAAAGGAGAGTGTAAGGATTGTGTTTGCCCTTAAGAAATCTTATAGATTTACCCACAATAGAAGGTTTACCTTACAAATGGATCACAGACCATTGCTAGTTATTTATGGGTCCCAAAAAAAAAAAAAAAAGAAAAAAAAAGGCCTACCAACCCATACAGCTAATAGGTTACAACAATAGGGAACAATCTTATTGAATTATGATTTCAGGATGGAATTCTTGCCATCAAGTAAATTGAGTTAAACAGATGGATTGTCCAGACTTATCTCCAAAAATAGTGGACCTTTGGAAAACATGCTCATTGTTTCTCTACAAGCAAAAGTAGAGATGAAAAATGTTCTATGCAATATTGTGTGGGAACTACCTGTGACTTTGGAAGAAATAAAAAAAAAATGCGTTGGATGACAATTTTATTCTGGAAATGAAGAAAAAACTAAAAGACAGGTGTAAAACAGAATCTGAGGTATATTCAATTTGCAATGATGTTCGCATGTACAGTGAAAGAATAGTGGTACCTTTATCACTACAGAAATGAATCCTGAAAGAAATCCACACAGGACACTCTGGTGTATCCAGATTGAAAAGCTCAATGTGAAGTTATGTGTACTGGTGTAGCATGGATAGAGACATTGAATGTTTGGTAAAGTCATGCAAAGGATGTGCTCTGGCAGTTAAAGCACCACAAATATTCAACCCATGGCCAGAAACTGACTGCCATGGTCATGTCTGCATATTGACTTTGCTGGGCCACTTAATGGTTCATATTATTTGATTGTTGTAGATATTTTTTTTCAAATGGCCAGAGATATTGAGATGTAAGAAACCAACCACGCAAATAGTAATTGGGTTTCTACATAAACTGTTCATGAGGTTCGGAGTACCAGATTCTATTGTTTCGGATAACGGCACCCAATTTGCATCAAAAGAATTCAAGGGATTTTGTAAAATGTTCATGGTAGAGCACATAACCAACCTAGAAGCAACTGCCAGTCAGAATGTTTTGTGGATACCTTTAAGAGGGCCCTAAAAAAAAATCCAACAGTGGATTCATGGATGTAGCACTGCAATACTTTCTACAATCGGTTTCCACCAAATAAAAATGCTATGACTCTGGCAGAAATTATGTTTGTGTGGAAAATAAGGTTGGTCTTTGACAAGCTGATACCGAATAAGAAAAAGTCAAACATACAGTACAAAAAAGTGGGAATAAATTTTACAAAGTTGGTGAAAATTTTTTTTACCAAATGTATCAGACAGGGGAAAAGATATTGGGAAGTTGGAACTATCGTCAAAAGAATTGGTAGGATGATATGTTTAGTCAAAGGAGCGAAAATGGTGCACAAAAGTCACTTGAATCAAACAAAAAGTAGGCATATAGATGAAGAGAACGATACTCTTGACGATGTTAAATCTATGGAAGTTCTTTTTGATACGTCTGATGCATCCATTCCTCAGAATGCTCCCAAAACAAAAATCCAAAAAAGACAAAGTAAGAGGAAAAGAAGGAATACAGAGAAAATCAACATTAACCTGAAAAGAAAAAGATATTGATTCTGTGCAGAGCAAATATAAAAAGGGAGGGGACTGATATATATCATACCTATGAACACAAATGGGTATGTCCCAATCCTCATAAATATGTTGGACACTATTGTAAGTGGGAGTAATATTCTGTCTAAGTAGTTCAACACTAGCAGTGGTTTACCTACTTTATGCCGCTGGCGAGTATTGTATTTTGCTGATGTTATAAAGATTACCATTTCATTTCCAAACTCCATTTTGGTTATTCCTCATTCAGTAGCCCTTTCTCGGTTACAACAACTTTGAAACTGCGAGGTTAGGACTTGTACCATTGAAAAAATATCTTGTCCATGAAATCACAATAGTTAGTACTTTTCAGTTTAACTCCTTCATTGACTTTGAATGGTTCAAGAATGGTTTGGTTGAAAATTCCAACCCACATCATCACACTGCCACCTCTTTGCTGCCATCTTTTAACCACAGGTAGACATGCATCTTTGGCCCATCCATCAGATCTATCAATTGCC